GATGAGTATTCTAGCCTGTTTAGATGTAACAGGTGGCCTTATCTCTTTAGAAGTGATTCCGTGAATTCTAGTTTTCAGTGCTGTAACTTTCAGAGAACAATCACAGTAGATATCTGCGCCACAATTGGGCATGAGGTTTTTGTTTTGTTTCTTTTTTGTTCTTCTGTTGAGCAGTTGCTCATTTCTATCTCTAGGATTCAGGCATTGACTTGAATGTATAACACACTTCGAATATGGTCAAAGATTAAAGAACAGTTGGTCTAGAAGTGGGACTGAGAGGTGGTCACTGGGGGCCTGTAGCAAGCATGATTTTGAAACTATTTTGCTCTGGAATTTTTGTGTACTTGCTCTCCCTTTTCCTTCAAGGATGATGGTGTATGTGATGAAAACTGACAAACATATGAGAAAACTCTAATGGGGTAGACCAGCAGTTGTTTTTCTTAAGGACAATTTTGGAGTCACAGAATCTCATGTAAGTAGCTACCAGCATGTAGAACGCTGCCCATGAAACAAGAAGATGGGGATGACTCACAGCCATATGTTGTGAATAGCCAGAGAATCCGTGGACAGAAGTATTTACTATGCAAGATTTTAAATTATCAGTAGAGCATAAGATATAAAATGTTTCCACTTTTAATTTGGAGGTTGAAGAATATTTGTTGTTGTGATGGTTGTTTCCAGAAACTTTGCTGAAGTCTGCATGCCCGAATGAATATGTGGTTGTCTGAGTGATACAGTTCATGAGAGCATAAATCAGGAGTAAGAGGTACCACATTTAGCACATCTGAGGAGTGGGACTATAGCATCAAGGGTTTTGAAGGAGCTGGTATCATTGCAGGTTTAATCAAGTGATTTGATAAGCTGCTATACATCTTCCGTTGTCATTTATCAAATCAGCATAAGCTAACAAGAGTGAACAGAATTTGCAAAAAGGATTTTCGATTCCCTGAAACAGCAGTCATTAACCCCACAGTAAATTAGAATGCTTTTCAATTTAATGAGCCAGATTGCTCTTCTTTTCATTAAGTTGAATAAATCAGAAGAGCTGTTACTTAAAGTTGTATATCTTTAATTTTTCTTGATGAAACCTATATGAATTTTTACATCATTGATGACAGCTTCTGTTGACAACATGAAATCATTTTGGAAGCTGTCTTTCTTTTCCCTTCTGGGTATTATCCTATTCCAGAATTTGATATTTACATCTAAAGCAATCAGGGAAAAAAGGCAAGTTCTGGGACAGAATCAGATATTTTGGAGCCTTTTTTTGCAAGCCTCCCTTTTAGATTATGCATTTATATAACCAGCTATATTTTATGTATACATATGGGTACATATATAAACACAAATAAATACACAAACACATAATATACATGCATATGCACATACATATCTGAATAAGTAAGTGTAATGTAATACACATAAAACATAATATATAATAATTTTTATATTCTTTTAAAAATAATGACAGTATGTAAATTATCCAGGTCAGTTTTATTTTAATCCAGTCTACTTATACTCTTTCTTCCATCAAAATGCAATTCTCTCAAAAGGAATTTTCAACCCATTTTTATCTTTGTTTACTTTTATTTTCTTTAGAGGGGCTTATAGCTGGCCAGAGCCTTTGTAAATAATGTAATACCACTCACTTTGTCAGCAGCTTTAGAAATAAACACAAATGAGAAGGACATGAAAAAGACACATGGGAAGAAATAAATGCATGTTTTTTTTTTATTTTTTATTGCATTTTAGGTTTTGGGGTACATGTGCAGAACATGCAAGACAGTTGCATAGGTACACACATGGCAGTGTGTTTTGCTTCCTTTCTCCCCTTCACCCACATTTGGCATTTCTCCCCAGCACCCCCCCGCTGGCCCTCCCCTTTCCCCCCAATAGACCCCAGTGTTTAGTACTCCCCTCCCTGTGTCCATGTGTTCTCATTTTTCATCACCCGCCTATGAGTGAGAATATGCGGTATTTCATTTTCTGTTCTTGTGTCAGTTTGCTGAGAATGATGTTCTCCAGATTCATCCATGTCCCTACAAACGACACGAACTCATCATTTCTGATTGCTGCATAATATTCCATGGTGTATATATGCCACATTTTCCCAGTCCAGTCTATCATCAGTGGGCATTTGGGTTGGTTCCAGGTCTTTGCTATTGTAAACAGTGCTGCAATGAACATTCGTGTGCATATGTCCTTATAGTAGAACAATTTATAGTCCTTTGGATATATACCCAGTAATGGGATTGCTGGGTCAAATGGAATTTCTATTTCTAAGGCCTTGAGGAATCGCCACACTCTCTTCCACAATGGTTGGACTAATTTACACTCCCATCAACAGTGTAAAAGTGTTCCTTTTTCTCCACATCCTCTCCAGCATCTGTTGTCTCCAGATTTTTTAATGATCGCCATTCTAACTGGCGTGAGATGGTATCTCAATGTGGTTTTGATTTGCATTTCTCTGATGACCAGTGATGATGAGCATTTTTTCATATGATTGTTGGCCTCATATATGTCTTCTTTTGTAAAGTGTCTGTTCATATCCTTTGCCCATTTTTGAATGGGCTTGTTTTTTTCCTGTAAATCTGTTTGAGTTCTTTGTAAATTCTGGATATCAGCCCTTTGTCAGATGGGTAAACTACAAAAACTTTTTCCCATTCTGTTGGTTGCCGATTCACTCTAGTGACTGTTTCTTTTGCCGTGCAGAAGCTATGGAGTTTCATTATGTCCCATTTGTCTATTTTGGCTTTTGTTGCCAATGCTTTTGGTGTTTTGTTCATGAAGTCCTTGCCTACTCCTATGTCCTGGATGGTTTTGCCTAGATTTTCTTCTAGGGTTTTTATGGTGCCAGGTCTTATGTTTAAGTCTTTAATCCATCTGGAGTTAATTTTAGTGTAAGGTGTCAGGAAGGGGTCCAGTTTCTGCTTTCTGCACATGGCTAGCCAGTTTTCCCAACACCATTTATTAAACAGGGAATCCTTTCCCCATTGCTTGTTTTTGTCAGGTTTATCAAAGATTGTATGGTTGTAGATATGTTGTGTTGCCTCTGATGCCTCTGTTCTGTTCCATTGGTCTATATCTCTGTTTTGGTACCAGTACCATGCTGTTTTGATTACTGTAGCCTTGTAGTATAGTTTGAAATCCAGTAGTGTGATGCCCCCCACTGTGTTCTTTTTGCTTAGAATTGACTTGGCTATGCGGGCTCTCTTTTGGTTCCATATGAAGTTCATGGTGGTTTTTTCCAGTTCTGTGAAGAAAGTCAATGGTAGCTTGATGGGGATAGCATTGATTCTGTATATTACTTTGGACAGTATAGCCATTTTCACGATATTGATTCTTCCTAACCATGAACATGGAATGTTTCTCCATCTGTTTGTGTCCTCTCTGATTTCGTTGAGCAGTGGTTTGTAGTTTTCCTTGAAGAGGTCCCTTACGTTTTTTGTGAGTTGTATTCCTAGGTATTTTATTCTTTTTGTAGCAATTGTGAATGGCAGTTCGTTCTTGATTTGGCTTTCTTTAAGTCTGTTATTGGTGTAGAGGAATGCTTGTGATTTTTGCACATTGATTTTATATCCTGAGACTTTGCTGAAGTTGCTTATCAGTTTCAGGAGTTTTTGGGCTGAGGCGATGGGGTCTTCTAGGTATACTATCATGTCATCTGCAAATAGAGACAATTTGGCTTCCACCTTTCCTGTTTGAATACCCTTTATTTCTTTTTCTTGCCTGATTGCTCTGGCTAGAACTTCCAGTACTATATTGAATAGGAGTGGTGAAAGAGGGCATCCTTGTCTAGTGCCAGATTTCAAAGGGAATGCTTCCAGTTTTTGTCCATTCAGTATGATATTGGCTGTTGGTTTGTCGTAAATAGCTTTTATTACTTTGAGATATATTTTAAGTGAGTTGAGAACATTTTATTTTGGCCTGTTTCTCCCCTTCATGCCACCTTTATGTTGAATAACAAACGTTTTATCTACATGGCATTTTACACATTCAAGCAAAACTCAGTTTACAAACTTCACTAAAGATTCCTGCATACAGGACTCTTAACCGTTACCAGACTTTTTTTCTTTTGGTATATTATCTGAAAGCCGTTTTTAATAACAGATGTAAGTTAGACAATTTGGACGTTATTTCCATATGTGTGTTTATTGATTGCTTTAGCTGATCATGTGAATTTATCAGATCATGGCTGCATTGAAACTGGTCTTGGAATAGACAGCAAAAGGGATATTGCCTGTATGGATCTTCTGTTACCATTTCTCAGTGTGCACTTCTGTAGAGCTTGGGGCCAAGGCTGCACACACCTTGAGCACCTCATTGTCCATCCTCATTGCCCCAGGATTGTTTCATTTTCTTCCTTGGGGGGGCTTCTCTCCTCCACCTTCTCCATCACTCACTCCCCTTTGGGGTAGACTTGAGAGTACTAAATACCACTGAGGAATATGTGACTTTTATGTAGCACTCTCATTCTTTACAGCTTTAGGACATACACCTTGCTTCAAGAGCACAGGAACCACTTTGGAATTAGAAGCATTTCTAGTTGCTGTGTTTACTTTTTAAGTTTGCCACAGAAAATTCCATTTTCCAATTCTTATGATAAAAGTGGAACTTCCTCTGCTGGTGGATATTTTGTTCAGCATCCACAGTAAATCTGACTTTTTAGTTTGATTAAATAATGAGCCCCAATCTAATTATACATGGCTTCTTAGGCCTGCACTCTAATCAGTAAGAATTCAAGTCTCACAGACAATAATCTAGTTATAGCTTTTAAACGTTTGGAGAGATATCCTGATTCTGTCCAGAGTCATTCTTATATTGGTAAGTGATATGTGTACCAAGATTTGTTTTGCCCCCAAAACCGATCTCCAATGGGAATAGTCCTTTAAAATGGCAATTTAAAAGCATATCCAAGTTACACATATTATTAGAAGCTGCTTTTCTTTGTGCAGTATGTGTTGTTGACATTTGCTGAAGTGGGATGTTTCATTCCACAGAAGTGGGTGGATGGAGGCCTCACCAACAGTCTTCCCATTCTGCCCTTTGGCCGGACAGTGACCATCTCCCCCTTCAGTGGACGACTGGACATCTCCCCACAGGACAAAGGGCGTCTGGATCTCTATGTTAATATCACCAAGCAGGATATCATGGTGAGTAATTATGTTCAGTGGTATTTGAAGAGTCCTGATTTACTAAAAATTCCCATGGAATTCAGCGTGTTTCCTAAGCACAGGAAGCTCATTGATAATTGCAGGTAGGAGTTTCATCTTCTCCATACTGTGTTGTTTAATACTTTACAATGTGTATCAGGCATTGAGACTTGGGTTCCTATGGACTGTCAGCATTAAGTCTTTTTGCTGCTTTTATTTTATTTTTATCATCCCTCCTACGTTAGCCTCCCAGGTAGCTGGGTCTATAGATGTGCATCACCATGTTGAGCTAATTTTTTTTATCTTTTGTAGAGATACGGTTTCACTAGGTTTCCTAGGCTGGTCTCAAACTCACTGGTTCAAGTGATTCTTCCACCTTGGGTTCCCAAAGCACTGAGATTATATACATGCACCATGCCTGCCATTTTTGCTGCTTATTAACTGTTACTTCTTTTTCTCCACTTATTTTTCACATCAATAAACTTGGTAGGATATCAGAGAAATTTTTTTTCTTTGAGACAGGATTTTGCTGTGTTCCCAAGGCTAGAGTGCAGTGGCAAGATCATGACTCACTGCAGCCTTGACCTCCCAGGCTCAGGTAATCCTAGACCTCAGCCTTCCAAGTATCTGGGACTGCAGGCATGTGCTACCACACTCGCTTTCTTTTTTAAAAAATTATTTGCAGAGATGAAGTCTCACTGTTGCCTAGGCTGCTCTAGAACTCCTGGGCTCAAGTGATCCCCTGCCTTGGCCTCTCAAAATGCTGGGATTACAGGCCTCAGCCACCATGCCTGGCCCAGAGCAATTTCAAATAAAATCATTTATTTGCTTAGGAAGATGGAGGTAATACATAAAAATAGTGGAGAAAACTTAGGGACCCAAATGAATAGTTGACATAAAAATACTGATTCCCTTAATCCTTAGTTTTCCATGTGGGATGATATTGTATCAGACATTTTTGGTTATCATGTCCCATTGTTGCTACTGGTGTCAGTGGGTAGAAGTCAGGAATGGTGTTAAATGCCCTCCAGTGCACAGGACTGCCCCATAACTAAAATGTCACGGCCCCAAATGTCAGCAGTACCAAGGCTGAGAAACCCTCCTCTAGTGTATCAGTGGAGGTAACTTGTGAAGTTTAAATTTTTCCTGCTGATTTCTGTGTTATTACTAATTGTATCTGTGATAAGAAAACCTGGATTGTAAACATAGTGTATATTTACCTGTATGGCAATGTCCTATAGGATAAATTTTGGTCTTTCTATTCTAGTTGTCCCTGGCAAATCTGGAGAGACTTAAGCAAGCCCTTTTTCCCCCAAGCAAGAGGAAAATGGAATCTTTGTATCAATGTGGCTTTGATGACACTGTTACATTTTTACTTAAAGAAAATTGGTTTGAATAAAATGCTTAAAAGTTTGTAATGCAAAACGTTTCAGTTTTTGATGGAAGTTTCTAATCAAATCCTTTTTAGAAAATCTATCAAGATTCTCAATTTTATTATTAATCTTTGTAATAATTGTGTTTATTTTAAATATTTGAATTATTATTTAATGCAAGGAAATAAGAGGCACTTTATTAGAATTTGGCAATGTTAAGAAGGATACACTTAGGTGATAAGGAATCATTTTTGGTGAATAGTCGTGTCCTTTAAAAAATGGAGGAGCATAGGGTCTTTGGATAAACTGAGGAATGTGGAAAATGGAAGGCCACCACTTAGGTGCCATGGAGAATGTGTGGCATGATCCTGACATGAAGCATGGGTGTGTCCCCGTAGCTCTGGAACTAAAGGAACTAGGCTCTCAGGCTGACTTAGACCACAGGGTAGGAGAGGAAGGATTTGAGAAATAGACAACTCATGGTTAAAGGCCTTTGATCAGGACTGGAGGAACAAAGGTTTGTGCATTAGTCCATTTTCACACTACTGAGAAAGACATACTCGAGACTGGGCAATTTACAAAAGAAAGAGGTTTAATGGACTCACACTTTCACATGACTGGGGAGGCAGAAGGTAAAAGGCACGTCTCACATGGCGGCAGACAAGAGAAGAGAACTTGTATGGGAAAACTCCCTTTTATAAAACCATCAGATCACGTGGAACTTATTCACTATCATGAGAATAGCACGGAAAAGACCCACCCCCATGATTCAATTACCTCTCACTGGGTCCCTCCCATAACATGTGGGAATTGTGGAAGCTACACTTAAAGATGAGATTTGGGTGGGGATACAGCCCACAAGTATGTGCAATGCTCCCAGTTAAGTTAGGGGTGTATATCCAGAAGCCTAGGAGATTTTGAAGAGGCTTATCCCCTCTCATCTTCCCCCCCAAAACACCACCCCCCAGTTTAGGAGATTATCAGGCTGGTTGTCATTCTCTCTCTCTCTCTCTCTCTCTCTCTCTCTCTCTCTCTCTCTCTCTCTCTCTCTCTCCAAAAGCATACCTCTCTGATTATTTAGCTATTGGTCTTTATACTGGATATACCTATTGTGCGTACTTAAATAGATAAAATACTACTAAACACAAAGAACTAAATAGCCTAGCAAATAATAATTAAATCCAGAATAATCATTCACTTTTCATTTTTAAATCATGGTATACTGATCCCAGGTCTTTTACTTTCTGAGTAGTTGTCCATCATTTTGAGGACTTGTGTATGGGCTTGTACTAATTTACTTACACTGTCTTAAATCCTAAATCTGTTTTTATGAGATTTTGTCAAGCATGAACTCTTGATTACTAAGAGGCAGTTAAAGACAAACCAATTTAATTGCATGTCTTTAATTGTCATGGATTTCTCCTTTTACCCCTTGAAACTATTCTTTGAATCAATTTTATGGTTCTCAGAAGCCCAAAATACACAATTTTTAGCACATAAACACCAACGATGGCCTCTTTTTGAGGAGTTCTGCACAGACTCACTCTAGAGTAATGATGGTCCCTGTGGTATGTACTTTTTCCTACTCTAGACAACATGTAGTTTAATCTTTATCTGATTCCATAAGTGATATGAAGTGGATGGAGTCTCAGTTCATTATTATGTCCACTTATTCACCAGGTAAACTTTCAGTTTTAATACTTTTCTTCTTACCCCTTCCTTTGATTATTTTATATGAATATTCTATTTGTATGTTACACTGTATATCAATAAATTCCTTATTGATGTACCCTTAAATTGCAGAAATTTAAGGTGCAAAACAAAATCTCATAGTATAAGACTTTTTTGAAGTATCTTGTATCTACTGTATATGTATTTGACCCTGTGGGTGGATGGTACTTTTCAACTTTTATTTTAAGTTCAGGGATATGTGTGCAGGTTTGTTATAGGTAAAGTTGTGTCTTGGGGGTTTGTTGTAAATAATAATTCATCACGCAGCTGATGGTACTTTTCTTTAAATATATTGTAAGATTATTGACATATCAGTTGGTAGCAACTTTCAAACAGGGAAATACAGTGATGTAATGAAACACATACTTGGTATACACTAGGCATTCTCTGGGGCTGGTACACCAAACTCTCCTGTGAGCATGCCACCAAGCACGCTCTGCCTATCTTTGCTGGAATGTGTGCTCATGCAGCCATACTAACTGAAAATAGGCATTCACAATAGGATCTGCCTCAGTTGTGGGATAAAAATTTTTAAGCATTATAGAACTGGCATATAGAAAATTTGAAAGGACTTTCTGACCCAGATACTGGTATGTTTGCAGGGTAATTACTGTGATTGACAGCTTGATAAATTCCCAATTCCCTGTGGGGGCAATTTCCTTATATCTTTGAATCTGTTATTAAAAATGTCATTAGTCTTCCTTTTCTTCTTTTCAGTAACATGCTTTACTTTGTAACTATGGTAACCCACTGCTTCCATTGGCAATTAGAGAAAATAGATTTGGTTTTGAAGTTAAATAGTGCTCTAAAAGAGCAAGCCATATATTAAAAAAAGAAAGAAAGAAACTATTAATTCTGGCTTCTCAATATCAGGTGCAAGGTATGTATACCACAAGCTTGCAAAGATACAGTCACACCACTCTGGGCACTGAATTTTGATTCTAAACAAGCTTGAACACTCAAAATACACTGATATTAGTGATTAGGCTTTTAATTTTTTTTGGAAGACTAAAAAACATAAATATAATTACATAAAAACATGTTTATATTTATAAATATTTGTTGTAAAAAGTTTTTGGATCCAGTCTATTACTTTTACAGTTAGGGAGCTAGTAACTATGGAAGATCAGTGTTTCAGGATTTTTCTTGCCTAAATTTTGTCTACGTGATAGCAAAATAAAATCAAAAGTTGAAGTAATTATCTAAATAACTCAAAGTAGGAAGGAAGACAATTACTGTAGGTCACGAGGGGTAGACAGATTTTTAAACAGTTATCGTGATCTGATTTGCAAATTAACAGTTTCCTTGGGTAGAATTCACCATGTATTTGCTCAGCTCTACGCTTCATTTTTTCTCTCAAAGCTCTGCTTACTTTATGCTAACACATGTGTTTATTTTTCCTCACACATGTCCCCTAACTCAGTATAATTTCCCCATTTGACTGACTTAGAGGGGAAAATGTGATTTAATTTTTTTCATACTTTACAAAGCATTTCTGAGTACACAGTCATGGACAAATCATAATATCACATCCAACTTAATCTTGAATTAAGATAATTTGTGAAAAACATGAATATGAGCAAACTTGCACATAAATATGTATGTACATATGCACATGCCTAAAACATGTCACAGCAGCTGCATTTTAACTGTGTCAAGATGAAGCAGCATTTATGTAATGCCTGATTTCATTGAGTTTACAAATGCTCTTTAACCTCTATACAGTCAGATCAGTTTTGTGGGCAGACCTAGTAGAGTGCACATGAGTATTCTTTTGGAAAGCCCCACAGCTCCAGCCAATCCAAGAATATCAGCCCTCCCTTGATGGGCTTAATGGCTTTGCAACATGACCTTCTAGCTATGGCCAAACTCATGCTTTTAATTTTTTTCAGAAGGACCAACCCTGCAGGTGGATCCCTGATTCATAAACTCTCCCTTGCAAGCTTGGACTTGGGCCATGTAAAATCTACTGGGCACTTTTGTGGATCCCTGCCTTCACAGAGCTCACCTGAGCAACCAAGAAAACAAACATGTGAGATAATTTAGGCCACACAAGCAATGTGAAAGAGCCAGGAAGCTTGAGGAAGGTGCATGGTGGCTGCTTCTCCTTTTGTCTGAAAGTAGGATGTGCTGGTGTCTGTCACTAGCCAAGACAGGAACTTCTCTATTACCCCGTTACCCACCATTCACCTGGACACCCACCTCTCACAAGAGGAACACCTGGAGGAGAGGCTCAGGATAACACATGTCCAAATCCTGAAGTTACTCCAGGAAGAAGGTTAAATGGTCCAAGGAGTGATCACTAGACTTACTGAAACTGCGAACACATCAACACTGGGGATACTTCAGTGTCCCCAAAACTTGGTTCCTGGCAAGGTCATGGAACTAAGCAATTTAGCTCTACTGATCAACCTCAGTCAGAATTATCTCTTGACAATTTCAAATCCAAAGGGGTTACTAGTGTCTCTCACTCCCATTGAGGGAAAAGATATGGTGTACTTTGCCATTTCCATTTGCTTCTACTGGCTGAACAGAATCATGGTAATGGATGACCTTATTGTACTTGTCAAGGGGAGATGGATTTGCTGCCATATAATGGGGATAGGAAGGTGCATGAAATTCAGGTAACCCCTTCGGTTACCAGTCTATGACTTGCACTAGTGGAATAGTTACTGGGAAACCATTGCAACCTTATATGGCAGAAGAAAGGGCACACATCCCTGAGGACCTTAGGTTTGGGTCATGCCACTAGAAAATGGACTCTGATCACCTAACCTGTGCCTGAAAGGGAAGCCACCATGGAACAGAGAATAATTGAGGAAAGTCAATGTTACCTCAGAAACAGTAGCAACCACAGTGACCTAGGATGGCCAACCTGATGCGAAATAGCTGAGTTTCAGAAGCCTGGTCCCCTACCAGCTGCCAATAATGGGGACCATTCATATCATATCCTTCCAGTACCTTCTCTGTGTGACTTAAGATAGCCAGAGTCTATTACTTGCTGCTGAAGGACCCCACTTAGATAGGATCAATGTACACTTGACCCTTGAACAAAACGGGTTGGAACTATGAGGGTCCATGTAGATTTTTTCAGTAAAAATTAGACCAAGTGTGCCTGCCTCTCCTGCCTCCCCTTCCACTTCCTCTACCTCTTCTGCCTCTGCCACCCCTGAGGCAGCAAGACCAACCCCTCCTCTTCCTCCACCTCCTCAGCCCAGTCAATGTGAAGAAAAGGACAAAAACCTTTACGATGATCCACTTTTACTAAGTAAACAGTGAATATATTTTCTCTTTCTTATGATTTTTTAAAATAATATTTTCTTTTCTCTAGCTTACTTGATTGTGAGAATATGGTATAAAAGTCATATACCATACAAAATATGTCTTAATTGACTATGTTATTGGTAAGGCTTGTAGTCAATAGTAGGCTCTTAATAGTTACATTTTGGGAGAGTGAAAAGTTATGTGTGAGTTTTTGACCACAGGAGTAGTGGATTGGGAAGTCAAAACCCCTAACCCTTATACTGTACAAAGATGAACTGTATATAAATATCTGTCCAACAACTGGTGAAAAAGCAGATGATTACTTAACAATTATTAATTTCTTATGTAAAAAATCCCTGTGTAGGGCAGTACAGTGGTGCTTGTTTTAGTGTACCCAGGTCTTTCCTCCTAAAGTAAGCATTAAAAAGATAGGAAACATAAAGGGGCCTTGATTAGGTTGGCATTTACAGATATTCAGCTTTGACATGTATCTGTTAAACAGGAGAGGTTGTCATTTGTCTCCCAACTAGGAACCTGGTGCTTAAGTAGAACTTACATGTGCTGTAAAAGAGTAGGAGTGTCCGCTTTCAAATACAACATCCTTCACACTTAGAAACTGAGAAGAGGAGCTGAAGGAGATCAAATGGCACATTCGATCATTCCACATGTGATAATTGATATCACATTATCATTCCCTACATTTCACCATAAAGTTGTTTCTGGCTGAGAGTCTTTGTAAAATCCTCCTCACACACTAAGAACTAAATACATGAATGGATTTGAATTAGTTTTGGTTTTATACTATGTTTTTGGTTGCATGTTATAGCCACCTATGTATTCTAATGTTTGGTACAACATTTTCTCCAATAAATTCCAATCTTTCTTCAGTATAATCTGTTTTACAAGGTAATCCAATACATATATGCATATATTTTACGCATGTATTTCTATATGCATCTCGGTATACCTATGCAAATATAAATATGTACTTATATAAATAAAAATAATGTTTACGAAACACTTTTATTATGTATATGTTTTTCGAAGTTTTTATTCCATTTTTATTTGTAAAAATTATCATGGTACACTTAAATAATTTCACAAGCACTAATGGATCACAATCTGCGGTTTGAAAGCATTCTAATTCAAACTTAGAACAACACAGACACTGAAATTCTCAATTTGTGTTTAAAAGACTTTAAAAAAAATGGCATACAAAAATAACTAGTACTGTATTTGAAATAATTTCTTTTTCTTTCTCCTCTTAACATTAAGTCTAGATATGTCTTATTTCACTTTATGGCTACAGAATGTCTCACAGAAATAATTTCTACTCGAAAGCATGGTTGTTTTCTGTTTACATTGTGTTTGACTACCTGGCATGAGTGCTACAGATAAAAATTCCTTAGTTTATGTATTTCACCTATTTAAAGCTACCACAATGGTGATAGTAATTCCATGGTGAAATTCTTTAATCAATTTGTTATATAAACCAAAATGTATTCTTATTTTTTAGCCACATTGTGGACATTCAGATGAAGTAAATATACATGTAAGTATGCAAATACCTTATATCTAACTCAGATCATTCTGACCTTGCAACAATAAACATAAAATCAGTTGGCTAGATTTGTCCTTGAACGATTAATATGCCAGGCTACTAGCATAAAAAAGTGCAATTGATTTCATTTTCATTTGTTGTTGTTATTTTATATAACAACAATATACAATACACTGTATTTTTAATTGTGTTTTACAATGCCTTCACTATCTCTGTTAGTGAAATATAATTAACTAACTGTTAAAAAAACAATGCATATAGAGTTAGAATATGCAATCAACATTGTAAAATACTTTGCTTAAAAATCTTTCTACAATTCATGTTCTGTATTGATCTATCACATTTGCTTAGTGGCTACAAATCACTGGTTAGCCTCTATATCATCTTAAATGATATCATTAAATTATTGACTATAACTGAGAAGATTGAGAGGGTACCAACGTAGTTTTAATGTACATTTAAAAATATCAGTGACTTGCGAAATATTCCTATGGATTAGAAGGATCAGAAAGAAAGTATTTAATCATTGCTTTCTGGTCTATTCCATAAATATTTATTGAGAATTTACTGTAAGTCAGGATTTGTGCTAGATACTTGATATGTAGATGTGAACAAATAAAGCAGGTTCCTGACTTAATGGAATATTTGTTATACTGGATAAGAAAGCAGTAACAAGTAAATGAGTCAATAACCAAGGTTAAAAATGGGGATTTTATTAAATTACAAAAATAAATAGAATAGTCTATTGTTCTATAGACTCACAGGGAAGATGGCCTCACAAAAAGTGTGCCACGATGAGTGCCATCTTCACTCCCAATGATATCCTTGCATTAATTCAAAAACACCATGGAATATTATGCAGCAATCAAAAACAATCAGTTTGTGTCCTTTGTAAGGACATGGATGAACCTGGAGAACATCATTCTCAGCAAACTGACACAAGAACAGAAAAGGAAATACCGCAAGTTCTCACTCACAGGCGGGTGTTGAACAATGAGAACACATGGACACAGGGAGGGGAGCACTACACACTGGGGTCTGTTGGGGGGAATAGGGGAGGGACAGCGGGAGGTGGGGAGTTGGGGAGAGATAGCCTGGGGAGAAATGCCAGATATAGGTGAAGGGGAGGAAGGCAGCAAATCACACTGCCATGTGTGTACATATGCAACTATCTTGCATGTTCTTCACATGTACCCCAAAACCTAAAATGCAATAAAGAAAAGACTATTTCCTCAAGAGGTTTATTGCCATTTGCTGGGAGGTTATTGCATTTTTGCTATTGTAATGCACATCTTCAATGACTTTGATATGAATGATGCCTGCTTAATTATAATCAGCTGCCCTTTTTCTTATTATTATTATTTTTAATTTTTAGAAACAGGGTCTTGCTCTGTCACTGAGGCTGGAGTGCAGTGGCATTATGCAATGAATGCATTGGTCACTCTAACCTTGAACTCCTGGGCTCAAGTGATTCTCCTGCCTCAGCCTTCTGAGTAGCTGGGATTATAAATACATGCCACTACACCCAGCTTAATTAATTTTTTTTTTTTTTTGTAGAGACAGGGTGTTGCTATGTTTCCCAGGTTGGTCTTGAACTCCTGGAAAGATTCAAGGGATCCTCTCACCTTGGCCTCCCAAAGTGTTGGGATTACAGGATTGTGCCATGATGGCCTAGCTGCTGTTTTGAAAACCTTGTTAGAGACATTAGCTCGCAGTAGTTTTGTTTTGTCTGGTTTTAGTGGTGCTATTGGGACTGATGTTTAGAAGATTTTCCTTTTGGATTAGTTTAATACGCTTTTGGCACAAATAATGTAGAAACATCGATAATAATAAAAAATAATAATAAATTTGAAAAGCCTTTTTTGATGTTGTTGTGGGGACTGTTTGTAATGCTCCAGGTGCTGTATCAGAGAGATTGACATCATCCCCATACAGTTCTTTTGTAGACACAACACTACCCTTTTCTGGTTTTATTCGGTCAAAGCAGACCATCCTTTTGAAAATGCTCTTCTTTCAATGTGCATGATAGATTAATAAAATAGCTACACTCAAGAATAAAAAAGAAGTTTCAATAAAATACCATTCAAAAGCTCACTCACAATCAAATGGCAAGCTTCATTCTGGGTCATGAAGCATGGGAGCATTCCCATTAAATCAGGGGTAAGGCTCATGTGCCTGAAATCTCTGCTATTCCACACACTCTTCTGCAAGACTTAGAAAATGTAACAACAAAGAAAAAAAAAACTAACAAAATGGAAAAAATACTGGAATCGTTACTGTTAGTTGAATCTGCACCATTTTGTAAGCTCCCTGCTATTTTGCAAACCTTGCAAGAATTTTAGTCCAAACTGCACCTTCATGTAAGCTCCCCGCTATTGTGCAGATCTTGGTCAACGTGAAACACTTCGTGGGGACTCGGGCCGTGAGAAACATCCTGCCTAACCACCTGACCACAAAGCAGACAAAGCCCCAACTAAAGAAACATCCCTATCATATCTTGCTCAGCAAAGGTCGGAGGAACACCACGAAGACATCCCACTGGAACAAGGACCAGAACCACCTCATCATAGGAACATCTTATCAATATCCTGCTGGCAGCAAGTCATAATGCTCAAACCCCTCCCACCTGTACCTGTAAGTTCCTCCAGCCTGTAAGCAGCAGTGGGCTCTGGCATTAAGCTGGTCCCCCACTTCTGTAGGTTTTATGCTGGACATAAAGCCTGCATTTGCTGTTGAGCTGCCCTCTTTCTGTGTGTGTCTTTCTTTAACCCTCACCTTCCCTTCAAAACCTAATAATTATATTTGTAAATTCTTTCTAGCACCATGCACATGACCTAACACAACACCGGTCCTCAGTAATTGAGGAATAAATAAATAACTGAATGCCTAAATATTTCAATATAATCATCTGAAAAAGTAATATGAGAAGTTAAAGAGTTCACTCAAATGTCTATAAGAATATATTGAAATTAATAATACCTCATAACAGCAGAAATTTAAAAAGTAGAAAAATGCAATCACAATAGAAAAAAAAATGCCAATACACAGAAAATGTGCAAGACACATCCAAAACCTCTATACATTAATCTGTTTATGTGATACTAGACATATCATGTTGCTAAATGGGAAAATTACATTGTATGTGGTGTCGAGTACTCATATATTAAACTACAAATTTTACAAGTGTCAATCACGCTCAGAACCTTGGTTTTCAAAATGTGACAAATGGATGTTAAAGTTCATCTAGGAGACCAGGCGTCCTGGCTCATGCCTGTAATCCCAGCACTTTAGGAGGCCGAGGCAGTAGGATTGCCTGAGCCCAGGAGTTCAAGACCAGCCTGGGCAATATGGTGAAAGCCCGGCTCTTCTAAAAATACAAAAAATTAGCTGGGTGTGGTGGTTTGGGCCTGTATCCCCAGCTACCTGGGAGGCTGAGGTGGGAGGATCACCTGAGCCTGGGAGGTAAAGGCTGTAGTGACCCCTGATCATGCCACTGCACTCTAACCTGGGAAACAGAGTGAGATCCTGTCTCAAAAAAAAAAAATTCATTTGGCAGAATAAATGCTCAGTAATAGCCAAAAAAGATTAACTAATTTTTTAATCTATTGAATCTTTTTTCAACTTTTATTTTAGATTCTGAGGGTACATGTACAGGTTTTTACCTGGGTATATTGGGTGTTACTGAGGTTTGGAGCACAAATGATCCCAGAACCCAGGTACTGAGCATAGTACCCAACAGTTTTTCAACCTTTTCCCTCTCCTCCCTCCTGCTTCTAGTGGTCCCCACTGTCTACTGTGGCCATCTTTATGTCCACGAATACCCAATATTTAGCTCTCACTTATAAGTGAGAAAATGCAGTATTTGGTCTTCTATTCCTGTGTTAATTCACTTAGGATAATGGCCTCCAGCCATGTCCATATTGCTGCAATGAACATGATTTTCTTCTTTTTAATGGCTACATAGTATTCCATGTTGTATACATAATTTCTTAACTTTTTAAAATTCTTCAGTGAATTTTCTCTCACTGGCTTTTGCCTATTTTTCTAAAGAGGAATTCGAGTTTTTGTTTTTTAAATTTTTTCTTTTGAGTCAGGGTTCCACTCTGTCACCCAGGCTGGAGTTGAGTGGCTTGATTACAACTCACTGCAGCCTCCACTTCCCAGGCTCAAGTGATCTTCCCACCTTAGCCTCAAAAGTAGCTGGGACCAAAGGTATGTGCCACTACATCCTGCTAACTTTTTTTTTTTTTGGTAGAGATGGGGCTTTGCCATGTTGCTCGGACTGTTCTTGAACTCTTGGGCTCAAGTGATCTACCTGCTTCAGCTTCCCAAGTTGCTGGGATTGCAGGCATGAGCCACAGCACCTAGCTGGAGATTTTTTTATTTTAGGAAAACAGAGTAAAGAGAAATTTCTTTTTCTTT